CCCTTTATTTACTTAGAATATTCAGTAACTGTCTTAATTAGATTTTTCCATTAACTTCCCCACTACCTTCTCAGAGTTGTCCAACATTCCTTCTTCATCTCTCCTTTTGTAAGAACAGCATTTAGAATGTTTAATTATTAACAAAATTATAAGTTTAGCAACTTTTTTAACTTTAACTTTTATTAAAATCAATTTTGAATGTTCTTGATAATGTAGTCTTTCTACCTGATCGTAATCAATACTTCTCAAAAGTCTTATTAACCAGACATCTCTAGCATCTCCCAAGCATAAATATATACATAAGATAATGAAAACTAGTTTTAACATCTATCTTTATATGGAACCAACTCTATCAAAAATAGTTTTAACTGTTTGTCATGGAAAATGTGAAACATAAAATGGAGAGAATACTATAATAAACTGATGACTATTTCATCTATTTCCTCCCTTTCATTTCCCACTCCAATATTATCTTAACCAAATTTGAACATTGTATCAATACATCTATAAATAATTTAAAGTATATCTCTAAAAGAAAAGGACTCTAGGCCAGGCACGGTGGCTCAAGCCTGTAATCCCAGCACTTTGGGAGGCCGAGGTGGGCGGATCACGAGGTCAGGAAATCAAGACCATCCTGGCTAACACGGTGAAACCCTGTCTCTACTAAAAATACAAAAAAAAAATTAGCCGGGTGTGGTGGCAGGCGCCTGTAGTCCCAGCTACTCAGAAGGCTGAGGCAGGAGAATGGCATGAACCTGGGAGATGTAGCTTGCAGTGAGCTGAGATCGCGCCATTGCACTCAAGCCTGGGCGACAGAACAAGACTCCATCTCAAAAAAAAAAAAAGAAAAGAAAAGGACTCTAAATATGACAGTAATATTAGTTTTAAAATTTTAATAATTATTGCTTAATAGCATCAAAATATCTAGTCATTTTCCTATTTATCCTCTCATGTCATAATCTTGTTTGGTCTCTTAGATCTCTTAGTCGTTTTTAATTTGTAAGTTTCGCTCCATTCTCTCTCCTCTCTCCTTATTTCTTGATGTATTTTTTCAAAGAAACCTGTAGCTCCAAGACAGCACATGTAAGTACTCAATCTTGGTCTCTAGATACTATTTACCATTAAAAGGAACCAGAACTTTTTGTAGTAGCAGCTGATTTCAAGTTTAGAACAGGAAAAAAGCAAGATGATCCAGGAGCATCTTGTCATACCACAAAGAAAAACTATTAAGGACCACAGAGTTTATATTAACAGATGCAGGAGCCACCTTGAGGCTGGCACTAGCCAAAGATGGGGCAATTGAGAATCAATGAGAAAAATAACAGTAATAGATTGAAATACATCAAATAAGTTTAAATCAAGGAGTTGATAATGATAATCAAAATTCAACAGAAGTCCTAAGCTTTGGGGATGTTGGGGACCCAATGCATTATTTTAAAAACTGGCTAGTAAAGAGGAAAATAAATAAATAATTGGCCTATCTTTCCCATATGAACTGTATCTTAGACCAATCAAGTGGAAAAGGAGTAAGATTTTCTTAGTCTAAAGAAAGCGTGATATAATTAGAGTATCATCATTTTATTTATTTGTTTGTGAGTCTCACTCTGTTGCCCAGGCTGGAATGCAGTGATGTGATCATGGTTCACTGCAGCCTCCAATTCCTGGGCTCAAATGATCCTCCTGCCTCAGCCTCCCAAGTAGCTGGGACTGGCTGTGCATTCCACCACACCTGGCTAAGTTTTTCTATTTTGGGGAGAGACAAGGTCTTCCTATGTTGGCTAGGCTAGTCTTGAACTCCTGGGCTCAAGTGATAATCCTACATCAGCCTCCCAAAGTGCTGGGATTACAGGTGTGAGCCACCATGGCTTGCCATCATTATTTTGCAGCCCCAGTAAAATTATGTAGGCAGTAATCATCAAAGGCTGCTAATGTCATGAGAGACACCCAACATTTGAAGGCACATCATCACCCCTGAAGTGTTCTTGCAAAAAAAGGAAAAAAAAAAAGACTTCTTCATTGACTTTTAATGATTTTAGTACTTCAGGTATATGGGCAGAGAAAAAAAGCTGGTGATTTTTTCCTTTTTTTTTTTCTCTGACATAGAAAAAATGTAAAATATTAGGTTTATTTTTAAAAAAGGGAAATTAGGCTTACTCATGAGGCAAGAACTCTCAATTAGAACACCAAACACTTTTATTTTATTTTATTTTTATTTTTGAGACTGAGTCACAAGACTCTATCACCCAGACTGGTGGAATTCAGTGGCACAACCTTGGCTCACTGCAACCTCTGCTCACTGCAACCTCCGCCTCCTGAGTTCAAGTGATTCTCCTTCCTTAGCCTCCCGAGTAACTAAGACTAAAGGCATGTGCCACCATGCCCAGTTAATTTTTTTGTATTTTTCGTAGAGATAGGGTTTCACCATGTTGGCCAGGCTGATCTTGAATGCCTGACCTCAGGTGATCCGCCCATTTTGGCCTCCCAAAGTGCTTGGATAAGAGGTGTGAGCCACCATGCCCAGCCTAGAGCAACAAACACTTTTAAAATAAGCATTTGTTTAGTGGACCTAGCTGAAGGAAAAAGTAGCTGCAAGGAACATGTAAGATAGGACCAAATGGACATCTTTGCTAGTAAGTCAAGGTCTCTCAGTTAGACAACACAAAGTTTTAAATTTTATATTACCATTCCTACTGAAGTTCATAGATAAAGAAAAAGTGGCTGCAGGGAATGTTTAGAGCATCATTATGTCTGTCCTGCTTGTGGTTGAAACAGTTACTTAACCTCTCAGCCTGTTTCTTCATCTGTAATATAATGCAGATAACAACAATATCTACCTCATAGCATTATACAAGGATTAAATGAAGTAATGCACTGAAGCACACAAAACTCTGAATAAATGTTATCTATAATAAAATGTATTAATATTACATTATCCTTATGCCATGAGTCTCACACTTGTTCTATACATTCAGAAAATAGAACTACAAAAGAGCATAAATCAGAAAGGTTTTAGATGCTCGTTTAATAATCAAGTTGAAGTAAACTTACAAAACAGTGTTTATTTAAATAGGCATTGACAATTTCACATCAGGCTACGCAATAGTACCTATAATATGTTTTTTTTTTTTTTAAGTCTTTGGGCCTAAAAGTGTTTTTTTAAATCTTCACATTTATGCTATTATTTTATTTAAAGTACATGTTTTTGTAGACACTCCTCCATCAAACAACTGAATTGTGGGCATCTATTACATATTGGCTGCTTTTCTCACGGGATGAGCCCTCTGTGAGCTTCCTCTTCCCAGAGAAGCACCACATCAACTGTCAAGTGCAGACATAATTCATAAGGACAAACAGCCTATGTTGAAAATGCTAAATGTCTCAGTTGTGTGACTGATTTATAATTTTATAACAGCCTAACTCCAGATGTGTATTAGGAAAATGTTCATATTCAATGGAAACTATCACTATTACAAAGCAAATTTTCTCCTTAACCTCCTGGAATCTTATATAGCTGAGGGCTAAAACTACTCAGGTACAGCTTTTTTTCTACTTGCATCCTGAGAACACCAACACTCATCATCATCATTGCTATCATCATTTCCATTAGATGCATGGAAAAATTATTTTTATGTCGTGAAGGTGGGGTACCAATATACTGTGATTTTCTTCATGGTCTTTTTTTTTTTTTCTTTAAGTATGTTTCTTAAAATTTTTTACCCTTGTATTGATTCACATGACTTGAAAAATCTTCTTATGAACTGTATCTTCCTGAAGCAGGGTCTAAAATTCTAAGATGATTAAACCATTGCTTAAAAACCATTTCAGCTGCAACAGTGTCTATTTATAAAGATGTCCAGACTGGTGGACAGGAGCAGAGATAGATCTCCTAGGTACAGAGACCAAGAGAGACCACCTTGGATAAGGGAAAAAATAAGTCTCAGAGTACACCTGGCAAAGTGTCACCTGTCTTACTTTTCTTTCTCAGGTTTCCCAGACTTAAGGAAACATAGCAAGAAAAAAGCAAACAGGAGAGGTCAGAGGAATGACTGCCTTCCTCCAGGATAATGAACTAGGAAAAAAAACCAAAGGCCTTAAGCAGGGCAATAAAATATGTGAAAAGTGGCAGGAGGGATATTTGATGACAGAGAAGACCATTGTATCAAAACGATCTCAGACATTTAGACTGCAGATATCATATCAGGGAAATTTTAAAACTGTGAATACAGACTTTTTTTAATTTTAAAAGTTAAACTAGATGTTCATTAATTTATAAATACAAGTTTGTGAAAAATTTTAGCAAATTTTATTATAGCCATGTGTTTATTACTTTGAATTTTCTGTGGCATTTTGCCCTTCTCTTCCTTTTTCCTCTCCCATAATGTATATTCTTCTGTAGTCTTGTTGGTTAAGTTGTTTGACTGAGAAGCCTTGAAGTTTTTGAAGACTAAGACTACTGAAGAGAAAAGGGTTTTGTCTCTATGTGGTACCCACATTTGCAGGGACTCTGGTTATTTAGAATGTGAGTTTATAACCCGGACACCATCACTCAACAAAATGTCCCAATTACCATCAAAACAAGCATGAGGAAATAAATAACATGCTTAGTTTTTGAACTTCAACCTCACAGTGACTAAAATCATAGTCTCTATATAGGTAAGAATGCAGGAAGACTCTATATAAACAAGAGTTCAGGGAGACCAAAGAATGTCGCCCTAAGTGACAGATATGTTTTATCTTTAGAGTTTCCCTTGCATGCCTCTTTAGAATTCTTTGGAGCATGCATTGACTGACACATTGTCAGAGGTCTGGAGCATAGGAGGAGAAGCATTCACCTGCCAGAGACTGCTCTAGAATAGACCATAACACGTCTCTCTGTAGTTTTCCTACAATCCAGTTTTCTCTGTTTTAACAACTACAGCTTAATATCATTGTGGATCAGCCACATTTAATTTATTGTTGTCTATATGACTTAAATAATGTTAATACTGTAATCTCTCCAGGTGTCATTCTCTATATTCTACTTGTGGGGTATCCACCCTTCTGGGATGAAGACCAACACAGACTCTATCAGCAGATCAAGGCTGGAGCTTATGATGTATGTAATAACTATTTATATCACTTTAGATGAAGGTTTGTTTTTTGCTTGCTGATCAAGAGCCAGATCTTTTCATTTTTCTTTTAACTATAATTTTTACCACTTTCTCTTATTATTTCCCTCTCTTTTAAGGAAAGGGAAAAAGAAATGCAGCATATGTGTTCAGCTTATGTTTCCTTTTAACTCACTCTCTCCTAAGATGAAAAGTCATGTGAAGTCTCTGAGGAAGAACTTTGTCAAAATGTTTGGCTCTTAGTGCATTTTAAAAACATAAAAATTAAAATATTTCTACTATAAAAATGATTATTGCCCATTCAGTTGAATTATATTCTCAAATACCTATCACATAATTTTACATTATATACCAACAATATTTTGCAGTGATCACATATCAAATAGAACATTATTCCACTATACCAGTTTCTGGGTTTTGTTTTTTGTTTTTGTATTGTTTACCTAATGGGATACTATGCAAGCTTTCATTTGAAGAATGAATTTCACAATTGAAAAATTTGAAAATCATAATTCTAATATATTTAATTTTTAATTAGAATATTTGAAAGTAGATATATATATACACATTCATAAATTAAGTTCAGAATCTGAAGAGGAAGTCTTTATCTACTTTCTCTTTATGGCTTAACTTTGTGTTTAAGATATAATTTGCTCTCCTTTGATATGTATTCTTGTAAATATGATTTACCACTTTCTCTGGTTTCCTCTCATACAGCCCTAGGGAAATCCATGTGCAGGATCTGGGCATGCTTTCCATGTGTTATTAAGTGGAGTAACTATGGAGTAGCAATATTGGGTTCACCTTTTTTGCACAACTTGAAAGCTTTATGTGAAAGTGAGAGGAGAAAATATAAAATGTCTGTATTGTATTCTATCATGTCTCATGAACTCTTCAGTGCATTTCTGATAAAATTTTCTATTTAGATGGATGTGTGTTTCAGTTAGCAAGAATTTAAAATGTATATTCTTTGAATTTCGAAGCATTCCATTATCCCTAGACTAGTAATTGAAACAAGTTATTATTTACATGGCAACAGCTAGCACATTCACCATCTTTACAGACTAGAGCCAGCCCCTCTCTGGGCAGACGTAGCCCTGAAAATGCACTGCTTGGTATAGCAGAGGAGTGCTTTCATGAAAATTAGAAAACTGAGGAAAAGGTTCACCTTTCTTCATGCTGAACCTACCCCTCATTTGCTATCAAAAGACCTGTACAACATTTAAGAAATAGCCTTGCGTGTTTCTTTAGTAGCTCCTAATAGTTAGCAAGCTTTCACAACTGCCAAAGATAAGCTTCAGGAATTAAAAAATGACAATTGTTAAGCTGGCAAGAAATTACAGGTATTAGAGTCAATATCATTTTTCTCGTGCTTTATTTTGCCAATGAGTCACAAGTTCCCCATTTTAAAACTACCAAAAATAGACTAATTCCATTGACACAGTGACAATGGCTTTATTTTTCAAGATTGTCTATACAAATTCATGAATTGGGAAAATAACTTGATATTCTATCATTTTGCAACTAATGTAGTATAAATTTCCCTTAATCATTGAAGGACAGTATTTCTATTAAATATGCTAATGATATAAAAGTAAGTTATTATCAGTACAAAAAAATAACATAAAGAGAGGAGAAGTAGCTTTCTTATATAGTCTTATTGTAAAAAAGTATTAATAATGGGAAGTTATAAGATTTGATTACTTTCATATACTTTGGTGAAATTTGTAATTGGGCAGATTAAACTTCTTGAAGGGTTAAAATGAAATCTTGCTGAAGCTCCTGTAGCCTCAGATTCTTCTCACTACAGCACTCCAAGTAGCCATGATTAATAGGTCAGTTTTGGCACAGGAATTGAAGCTGTTTTATTACCTCTGCTATTACTGCTTATAAGTTGTGAAAGTATATAATACCTCATTTTGAACCTTGGCATAATATTATGATGGCATTGGTACATGTAGCAACCTCTTCGCTTTTATTAAGTTTTGCAAATAATTATGAGAAAGATTGTATAAAATTTCATTTTCAGATCAAAGCAGAGATACTTTGAGAAGAATAGAAGATTCTTAAGTTCTTTTTTTCTGAATTTTAAAATGTATTTACCATATGTGATATGCAGCTCAGTATATATGTTGGTCCCTTATCAGATACTCTTTAATATATATAGTTGTCTACATAGAGGGGGAGAATAGATCTAAATGGTTTTATTTATTTTAGATACAATTTAACTTATATAAAAAGTAAATTTATGAAGAAATTCACTACTTGAGGAAATGATTCATATAGTTGACTCTTCCCTGTTTGATTGAGTGTGTCTATTTTTTAAACTTTTTATAAATTTATATTTTTGAAGTTTCCATCACCGGAATGGGACACGGTAACTCCTGAAGCCAAAGACCTCATCAATAAAATGCTTACTATCAACCCTGCCAAACGTATCACAGCCTCAGAGGCACTGAAGCACCCATGGATCTGTGTAAGTAAAACTTCTCAAAAACTTCAAGAGCTAAAATGAAAAACAAGCTGTCCTTTAATATATTGTTTATGGATTTAAAATAACTTTGCAAAAAAAAAGATGAAATTCAGAATGAATGAATTTTTGACTCAAGGTGTTTAAGAAAATGAATTTTATGATGGTGAAGAAATGCAATTTTCAGTAGCAAAGTCTGAATTGCATAGATTCTTAAACAAATATTGCTTGCAGTAACAAAAGGAATGAGTATTCTTCGTATCAATTATTGACAATACTCATGAACAAGGTTAAGAAAATAACACCAAAATTAAATGTATCCCAGAAGAAAAGATTTAACAAAGTTCAATTATTTGTCATTAGGCGACTTTAGAAGCAAGTATGAAGTTTGGCAGCTGAGAGTAGAGTTTTAGTGGCATAAAAGAATGGTCATAGTAGTCTGAATATATTTTAGAAATATTAAGAAAAATAGTGTGAAATTTGAGGGGAATCTGAAGACTTCAGTAAATTTCTGAATGTGTCAAATGCTAGGATGATAAATGTGGCACTAAGTAAATGAAAGGCAGCCCAATCGAAATGTGATTGAAGACATTAAAATAAAGATAATTTGAGAAATTATTAATATTTATTTCTACACTTTCTGGTATTTTTATTTTGTTTTGTTTTGACACAGAGTCTTGCTCTTGCGCCCAGGCAGGAGTGCAGTGGCACAGTCTTGGCTCACTGCAACCTCCGCCTCCCAGGTTCAAGCAATTCTCCTGCCTCAGCCTCCCGAGTAGCTGGGATTACAGGTGCCCACCACCACACCCGGCTAATTTTTGTATTTTTAGTAGAGATGGGGTTTCGCCATGTTGGCCAGGCTTGTCTTGAACTCCTGACCTCGTGATCCACCCGCCTCAGCCTCCCAAAGTGCTGGAATTACAGGCGTGAGCCATGACGCCCAACCCATTTCTATACTTTATATGTATCAGTGTTGCGTCTTGGCCACAAGTAGTCTTGGCAAAACTAAAATTTTATTTTTAGGTAACTTTAGCAATTGAATACTTAGAAGTTGATCATGCAGGTGCAGCACCATTAATAAAGATTTGATGAAGTCAGGGACATTATTATACTTAGTGTATTTTAAATATTCTTAATTAAGTTACTTTTTTTCCCCCTCCTCTAGCAACGTTCTACTGTTGCTTCCATGATGCACAGACAGGAGACTGTAGACTGCTTGAAGAAATTTAATGCTAGAAGAAAACTAAAGGTAAGAAATTTTACATTTTTGTGGGGAGGTAGATTTGACAGACTAAGAAGTGAAATACCATGTGAGGAAAATAACTTCTAGCAAAGGCTTTCAATTATGTAGACCTCAATACTCTCATTATTCTTTTTGGGGGTCTTAGGAAATGGAATATACACCAGAATCAAAACTATAGTGAAAAGCTAGAATCATCCTGGCAACACATGCTGTGGATCCTTCCTTCAGTGGAAAACAGCTGTGCAATTTGATAATGAGAATCTGGCCAGCATCATGAGAGACAAAGGCCTTTGACTCTCGGGAAACCAAAAAACAAAAACAATCAATCAAAAATCCCCTAACTGAAAGTAGGGCCAGGAAAAGATTTGTTATCAAAGACTCTATATTTGTTAGGTCCAGGATTTTGCATAGGCAACATTGACTTTTGTGTTCTAATTTTTTTCACAGGGTGCCATCTTGACAACTATGCTGGCTACAAGAAATTTCTCAGGTACATGCATTGAGAACTCTGCTTCTTATCTGTTGGTCTTCTTTTTAAGTAGTCTCTGTTTTTTTGACTCTAGAATTTTTAAACTCTAATAATTAGAAAAACCTGATTGTTCAAGGGTGGCAAATGTGTGGCACAGGTTCCTTCTACACCTGTGGCTGCCATTAGCAGTCTACTTGGGTGCTGTCTGCTGCCGAGCCTCCGTGACTGCACCCCTCACAAGAGTGCTTCTGGCAGCTCTGGTCACCAGTCAGTGCTGGTGCAGGACTAGCCTCATCTGTCAAATGCTGGGATGCATACGAGTGGTGGAAATAAATACTCCCTCATTTACAATCTCAGCATTTCAAACTTAGAAAATATTATTGATATTTCATAAAGTAATAACTATGAATAAGTTATTTTTGGTCTCATTTTCATAGGGAATCCTAGTATGCAAGATTTTTAAAAGAAGACCATTATTGGCCAGGTGTGGTGGCTCATGCCTGTAATCCCAGCACTTTGGGAGGCCGAGGCAGGTGGATCACAAGGTCAAGAGTTCGAGATTATCCTGGCCAATATGGTGAAACCCTGTCTCTACTAAAAATACAAAAATTAGCTGGGTGTAGTGGTGTGTCCCTGTAGTCCCAGCTGCTCAGGAGGCTGAGGCAGGAGAATTGCTTGAACCTGGGAGGCGGAGGTTGTAGCGAGCAGGGATCACGCCACTGCAATCCAGCCTGGCAACAGAGCGAGACTCCATCTCAAAAAAAAAAAAAAAAAAAAGCAGACCATTATTGAGGAACCCAGTTCTCTTAGACCTAAGTTCATTCAAAAGTATAGTACTTTCTTGGCATACTATAAGAATGATTACAACTGTCAAAGGTGTCTAACTCAAGAATTTACAGAGCACCTTGCACTCAGTACTATCAGAGCATAATAAATGTTCCTCAAAATGATTCCATGGTAAAAAATAAGTGTGTTAAATAATAGGCTAAAAGAAGTCAAACCATTCCTTTATTGTAAGAGTCACTCTCTAAAGGTGGAGATAAAGTATATGTTACTCCAATAACTTACTTGAGTTTTGTATCCTCCTTCTTTGATAGATTATCTCAAAGGACCAGGTTCACAAAAGTCAAATCTTGTTCAATGCTAAGCAGTCTTATGTTGGGGGAAGGACTGGAGCAGCAATTAAGCTGCACTTGGTAACCTTTGGCCCTTTAGACTTAGAACACATGTCAGCCAAAAATACTACCAGTTTAGTTTGGATACCGTTTACATAACAGTGATCTGCAAATCAAACCATCCAGCTATTTTTTCAATTCTTTGTTTTATTTTCTGCTACATACTTAGCCTGGGTGTTATAGTGTTATCAGGTAATAATCCATCATATCATTATTAAATGCTCTTCAACCAATTTCTAGTTATTACTTACAACTGTATTAAGTGGTCACCTTTCCCCCCACCTTTGCATTTCGTTACAAATAATGGGAAACCATAAGAGGCCTTCCAAAGGCTGTTAAACAATAACAACAATAGTAGTACAATGAATAATGCTACGAATTGAGGGACCGTGTTGGCCAGTCATATGTATTTTGTCCAATTCGTTTAGTGTAATAATACCTTGTTGCTGCCTTTGTCAAGTTACCTGTTTCATAAACAGTTGATTAATATAGTTGACATTTGTATGGGTGAGTTCAATGCCATCTCATTAAATATTAATTCATATATATGATATTCAAATAAATTTCACTGTGGCCCAGTAATTAGTGAATCATTAAAAGGTAGAATGATTTATATAGCATAAATTCTTAACAGCGAACTAACTCAAACTTAAAAAAATCTTCAGATTTAAAATTGTACATTTTGTTAAAGTGTTACATACACTCTTGGGCATAAATTGGGCCTTTATTCACATATGTACCCATATATAGAAGCTTTTTGTTTACCTCACAGTTTCCTTTTCATCATCATGTAAACTAAAACCTCATGACTAATATGTGAATTTTATATTGTTTCTGAATGTCTTAGCATGAAAAAGCAATTTTTTTTATCCATCACTTCAAAATCAACTGAATAACATTAGACCCAGTTACAACATCTTGTACTTAATACTGTGTTTTAGTTTTGAGTATTTTATTCATCCTATTTCATTGCCAAACATGCTCTTTAAAGTAATTTGTCCATAAGTATATGGTTATAAAGTTGTTTTAATTTTTTCTTTTCTCCCTTTATGTGGAATGTATTTCTTGTGAGGTAAGGTGAATAGTAACCAAAAGGGACATTTCTGCATCTCCCAGGCCAAATCCCTGCTTACCCTGAATCATCATCTTCTCTTTGCTTGCTATTGCAATTTCAATTATTCTGAGTTTGCTTTCTAACCTATTAACTGCCACAGGATTGATTTAATATTGCTTTTTAGCTCCAGGCAAACAATTTAATAGCTAAGGCAACTCTCTCTTACAATCTCAATTAATAATAAATTAATAGCTTTGTTGCTAAAGATTAATGAAATTAACATTTTTGTATCTTTTAAGTAAATTTAAAAGTATACCAATATGATATTGAAATAATGCCCCAAATCAATGACTGTCAGGAAATTACATGTTCGTGCAGTTCTAGTCTAGCTAGGTATTTATACTTTCAAAGTCAAGCTCTATTCTGATATACTTAAATAAGTATATGTAATTAATATTAAATGAAAGCATAAGTATGTATGGTGTTCTGCATATTTGTGAATGTTCTACACTTGGTGTACTAATTGTCATTGACAGTTATATTATCTGTTCACTGTGTATATACACGTTCCTTAGTAGATTTTTTTGAAAGGATGACTTCACCTTTTAATATACTCAAGAAGTTTAGTAACAGAAGGAATGTTAAAAGCTCCCTGCCAAGAAAAATGAAGTTGCATATAAGACCATATGCTTTAAGATTTCTCTGATTTAGTTGAAGATTTTATTCTGTTTTTATGTTGTCTCAAGTTTTATGATTTTTACTTTTTCATTGTAAAGGCTTTTGTTCATGAAGCCTTTGTATTCTGATTTTAATGTATAAAAGAATACATAGTGCCATTTTTTTAAAGCTCATATGCTAAACATTTAAAAAATTTGCTCTAGGCCAATAATATGCCATTTTATTTAAATAGTAATATTTTTTGTAAAACCAAATTGTCTGACTTCAAGAATATAATGAAGATGTTATTTAGCCAGAGCAAATTTTACAAATGAGTTTTCAACCTCTAGAAAGAGGGGCTTAAATGGCAGAACTGACATGGTCACCATATGTGGTGTGAATGAACATGTAATACTATCTGTCAGCTGGTGTCCAAAGACTGAATTCAACTTTCTGGATTACAAAAGGATAGTCCAGTTAAAGTTCCAGTATCCTTTTCGCAACCAATAGTGAAATAAATTCCAATAAACACAACTGTCAAAGTATTCAATTATATGCAATGAACTACTCTTTAGTTCTAAATTTGCTGTGGCAAACCAAGAAAAGTGATACTGTATTTCAGTGTCCTGTAAGCTCGTGCTCATCAGTGTGACTTTGATAAATTGCCATATGTTGGCCATAACTCAGCAAAGGTGGTAGAAGGAGACAGTAACCTGACTGCTTTGTTGCCTGGCTGTGGGTTTCTATGGATAACTCACTAAACTGATTCTACTCTCATTTTACAGCAGCCAAGAGTTTGTTGAAGAAACCAGATGGAGTAAAGGTAAGTTAAACAGATGCCCCTAATCCATTTCTGATTTTCAGAAGCTGGATAATCTTTAAATGTTAAATATAATTCCTAAGTCTTTGCAAGTTCTATTTTTTATTGTTTCTGATAAAGGTTGCTGGTTGAAATATGAAATGATTTAATATACAAAGATGACTAACATTTATACCAAGAAAAACTGTATTTCTTCTATTGGATTATATATGAAATAGTCATGAAAAAATAATATTGTTATGCAATATAGAGTTCCTATAGAAATTAAATGTCTTAATCTTCTCTGATTTACTACAGTTCCAAACTACCATGGTGACCTAAAAGTCTGCAAAAACCAAATGCTTTTCCAAATAATTATGCTGCATACGTGAAAGCCACTTAAGTATATAGCCTGAAAAATACTCACATTTGGGTATGGAAAATAGAATGTCAAATGTCTAAGTTAATCTATTTGGGCAGTTTTTATAAAGGTCTTAATTATTCCTGTGTTTCTATGATAAGGTGTTGAGATATATTCAAGATGAATGATCTGAACAAATATTAGAAAAATCTTGCAAGAAAAATAACAGCAGGATATTTTTACTTTCTGGCTTTCTAAACAAAATAATACAGTTTCTTTCCTACTGATTGTATATTGTTTCAAGGGGATTTACTCTTGTTGGAATGTAATCTTATATATGCATAATGATGTTTGTTATCTTTTCAGAGTACCACCTAAATGTTTTATTTCTTTAATCCTTTTCTTTCTCTTCCAAGGACAGATGCATACATTCTTCATCAACACTTCAGCGTTCTTGGGAATTAATTAATTTTCTAACATTTGAATTTGACCCAAAGTCAGGTGGTCAGTTCATATTGAAAACATAACATAGAAAATCATTTGTCACTTTAAATGTTCATGTTCAGTCATTTCTTTGCCACCTGTCTGTGTGCAACTTGGAAATTTTCGGAGCACTGATAACTATGCGTTTGTGATTTCCTTTAGGATGCCATTTCCATTTACCAATTGCTTTCTTCAGCCTGCAATTTTGTCTTCATTCTGATTAGTTTATTCCATTTAGATTTTAAGAATGATAGTTGATGACTGCCTTTTTCCCAATGTTACAATAGTAGAAATGTGGTATCTTACATTTTCCAAATATTTTCTTCTCCTGGGCTTTCCTGTACCATTCAGTGATGGAGAGCTCACAGATCCTATTGAGATATTTATTTTGATTACTATCCTTACGTAGAAAACATTTCCAGAACTTTTTTCTTCCATTCAACTTATAGCTCCTCTTTAAAAACAAAATTATTCTATACTCCATGCTTTGATACTCTAAATTCAACCGGTCATATTTTTTTTCTTTTCCTTTCTCTTTGACTGGTCAATTCAGAAAAGGAAGTCCAGTTCGAGTGTTCAGATGATGGTGAGGATCTCTATCTGCCAGATTTCTCCTCCTGTGAAATTCACACTTAGGAATAAAAGTCTTATTTACCTAAGATAGTGTAAGTGGAGAGGGTGTAGGACCATTACAGGTCAGTGTTAATCAACTATCAAAACATGGTACTCCTCTTACATATTATATTGTTTTTCTCTGAAATTGAATTTGTTAAACATGTAAATAGTTATATTAACAGGTTTGCTCTTTTACAAAAACAAAGTCCAATTTTCTCTTTGAAAATAAAAAGACCATGACAGAATGAATGTCTGTATAGTGATAAGTAAAAACAAACAAACAAAAAAAACCTATGTGATTATTTTTTAAATGTTCTTCATGGTTGCTAAAATAGGAGTGATTTATACGACACCATAAAACATTCACCATGGAGTTTATAAAGGTATGAAAGTGATCTTACGATGTACCAATCCTAGTTAAGTACCTTTACAGGAAATGTTTATTAACCTCAAAATAATAAATTTAACACCTGAGAAATAGGAATATCTTGCCCGTGCCTCATAAGAGTAATTCAGTGCATCATACAATTATCTGATTTGATTATTTGATTCATGATTTTTTAAAAAAGAAAAACACCCTGCTTCTATTAACATAAAATAATTATATCACACAAAAGTGCCAGAGTTCTTGTATGTTATGTTTAAAAGACATCTATGGGCCAGAAGTGGTGTCTCACACCTGTAATCCCAGTACTTTGAGAGGTTGAGGCAGGTGGATTGCCTGAAGTCAGGAGTTCAAGACCAGCCTGGCCAACATGGTAAAACCCCATCTCTACTAAAAAAA